TCTGGTCCTTGCGCTTGCGCAGCAGGCAGTGAAACCGCTGAGCTAAATCCCCGGCCCTAAAATATATTTTTATAAAGACCGGCTAACTGCTTTGTTCATACACACCTCTGTCATCTCAAAATCCCTCCTGTCTTTATAAATACAATTGTTTAAAGGTCAATGCAATAAAAATATTAACATGAACAGTATGCAATAATTAGTCCCTTAGGCTAAGTGTTTCTTGAGGCCAAGGTCCAACAGTAATGGGAACAGGAGGTGTACTGAAATGCGGCATGGTGGCACATGCCAAGGATCCTAGCACTGTGGGAGGCTAAAGCAGGAGGATTGAAAGTTTGAGCCTCGTGTGGCAAATTGGAAATGTAGAAAGACTGTGACTCAAAATAAAATAATAAAAAGGCTGGGGATTTAGCTCAATGTGAAGGCCTTGGTTTCAATCTTAGTACTGGACTAAAAAAAAAAATGAAACTCAAACCTTTTGAAAAATCTGAATTCTCCTAAAAGCATATGTTAAACAAACAGTGAAATTATTATCTCGATCATGTCTCCTTTTGTTTAATTTGCTCATTTTTTAAAAGCTGAAAGGAAAGAAGTATCAATGGATAATCAATCTGAGAAGTTAAGATTTCTGTTTAAAAACTACCACGCAAATCAAGGATCACTACTTTCAGAAATTTACATTCCATGCATTCAAGGTCTATGATCTTCCAGAGGGGGTTGAATGACTAAAGAAAGTAAGCAGGGCATCTTAACTAACTCCTGAGACCACCAGGGTCTTCCAGTATAGAAGCTCAGCTCAAAATTCAGACAATTCAAACTAAATGCAAAGCTGTAATTATTACAGAAAACTGAATTATAATTATCTTGGCATTCAGCCATGAAAATATTCCCCAAATCGACTTAAAAATTGAAAACAGACTAGGATTTCTAAGCATATCTAGGACCCATCTTGCTGTTAGCTAGTTTCCCCCAAGCTAAATTTGCATTTGTTCCTTAATCACAGTGCTGAACTAGTTCTCTAACAAGAGGAAACAAATTATTTTGGGGCTCCTGAGGAAAGACTCTAGTATATCTCTTCTTACAGCTAATAAAGCTGCAATCAACTAGAATCAAATAATCACAGTATACATTTAATACGACTGAGATGATTAAACCAAGAAAAGCACATTTCTTACTTTGAGAGAAAGAGAAAAATCCAGACCTTTTACCTTCTAAAATAAAAGGCAAGATTTTGAATCTCTGATTCTGAATTTATACCTCACAGTGAAATAACTGAGACTATCTCTAAGATGCCAGAATTCTAGGTGCAAATATTCAGGAGGAATAACAGAAGCCTACAGAAAGCTTTTTCAAAACTGCATGTGTGTGCGTGTGTGTGCGTGTGTGTGTGTGTGTGTGTGTGTGGTTTGGGGGATATCTCACCATGCAGTTCAGGCTCTTCTTGAACTCGCAATGTAGCCCAGGCTGGCAGCACACAGTGATCCTTTTGCCTCAACCTCCCAAGTTCTGGGATTAAAGGCATGCACCACCACACCTGGCTTAAAAAGGTATAGTATTTTTTAAATAAACAAAAAAAACTATAAACTTTATATTTGAATGTAGTGAACACCTGCCTTTGTGATGTAACTTAGAATTACACTATAAAGTCTTCCAACTCAGAAATGTTTTCTCCATATATATCAAAGACTGAAGCTCCAATTTCCCTTACATGGGATGAAGTCACAGAGATTCCAACATTGCCCTTTGTTAAAATGCCCTTGAAAAGGATTTTCATTATCAATGCTGAGTATAAAGTATTTAATGAGACCCTAAGCTAGGAGCATGTTAGATGAAGAGCATGTAGAAATGGAGTTTGAGAAAGGAACTGAAACCAGAAACCACAGCACTCTCTTGTCAGTGGTTGAAGGATCTGAAAGAATTCTCAACAATGAAGCAGGAAGCCAGAGTTGGAGTTCATCTACCCAATCTAAGGATCAGATTTCTTATCTTAAAAATAAGGCTGAATCTGTTGATCTCTAATCAGTTCAAAAATGCAAGGACTTTTATGAAGGGAGATAGGTTTGGCTAGAAGTCCAGGATCAACCACAAAGGGGTAGGAAGTAGGAAAACAAAATATCACTAGTGGTAAGCATGAAAGCACTAGTGGAGGAAAAAAAGGAGATACTAAAGAAAATGTCTCCATTATTGTAATTATGCCAAAAGATTAACTCAACATGTTGAAAAGCAGTTCTACAGTGGAATCCTGCTACAGCCTCAGGTATAAAAAGACCATCAACACAAACAGAGGGGGAAGAATCCTAGTTGAATAACTGCTTTCTTCAAATTTAGATTTTTTAAAAGAGAAAATAAAATAGTTTTGCCTGAGGAAAGAAACAATGTCTTAAATTTAAAAGGACAGTCAGCAATGTTGATAGATTTTCTGGCAAATGAAAAATGCTGACTTTTATGTTTTCCAACAAGAGCACTAACAATGAAATGACTAGAGTAAAATTCATTCAGGAGATATTTATAGGGTACCCAGTCTGTGCTCCTATTGGTTTTGAGAAGAGATACAAGGATGAAAAGGCACATCTACACATACAATACAGTACAGAACATATGACACAAATATTAATAAATTCAAGGGAGTATGATGAAACCTGGGCTAAGCAAAGGTTAGAGGTTTGGAAGAGGAGATAGACTTGTTTTTATCTTTGAAAAATCATATTCACATATTCTTCACATATTCTTTCACACTAGCCCAAGTCCAGAATTGCTACAGATAAGTTTAGACACTTAATAAGGAACAGCAACTCCTAAGCCATCTGCTTTTCTCGAAAAATGAAGATCTACCACACACAAACTTTCATTTTACTACAACCCTATGAGACTATTGTTGTCAGAAGGGGAAGGTAACACTTTATTTCATAAGTGACATGGTAACAAATCATGCTTTCTTAAATGGCTAGTCAGTACCTCATTTGAGTAGAAAAAAAAAGCAAACCATCATGTGACCCCAAAAGTCATTCACTTTCAGCAAGTTCCTTTGATCCATTTAAGGGTCCTGTTACTAATCTTCCTCTGATGAAGAAGCATGTAAAACACAGAATTTAAAGTGAACAACAGAACCTTGTTATAACCAGACAGAGCTACATTACAGAATACCCTGAGGGATTTAAAAAATCATCTCCCAAACGCATGTCACACAAAACTGCACATTATAGTAACATAAGATTAAACTCTTGTGTTTTTACCTGGTAAGGAACAATACTTCCATGAGCTGTGCCCCAACGTTTCCCTTCCCTTTGGTCAATGAGATAATTAGCGGCTACCTGGGTCAAACATGCCACCTACCAGAAAAAAAAAAAAAGAAAAGAAAAGAAAAGAAAAACAGTTTATCTGTACTCATGAGCAAAATGCTATAATATGAAGTAATTTCATTTTGTGTCGCTATAGAAGAAAATTATCCAAACAGGTTAGAAGACACATGGACATCTATTCTTTCATCATACAGATAAATAGTAGTATGATATTATTGCCTGAGTTAAGCAGCAGTCAATTCATAAATATAAATACACACACCTTTAGCTCCTGAAAAGATCATCCGAATGCAGGGATTGGCCAAGCAGAGGGAAACTTTGTCCAGTCTTGAACATCAAAGCCATAGCAAAACACTAGTACATGCCTTTCCCCTCTCCAACTGTATCCTTTTACTTTTCATCACAGTGACACACAGAAAGCCTATGTCACCCCTGAACAGATAAGCCAAAGCCAGGAGCCATATTCCTCTAAACTTCTCACCACATAAAATGTAATAATAGTAAGCTTTTATTTTGTTTAGGTCAGTTTAGTCAGGTTTTCTGTTACTTATTGCCCAAGTATTTTGACACTGAAGATCAGGATTTGTGACTTTCTAAAAATTCATTAAGCAAAAATTACTGTACCTCTCTCAACTTGGTCTTAGCCCCATACCCATATTATTATTCTCATTTCAGTTTTTGAGCACTATAGATCTGTTAAAGGGGTCTCTAAAACCCAAAGATCAACTTCTCACTCTTGCAGCATCTCATGGAAAAATCTTGAAAAAGAACAACAGTTCACCTCCATATGAGGATAGCATGCAGATAATAACTTGTTTCTAATGACCTGCCACAAGAATCTTATACTTCAATGAATATCTGTGCCAGAACCATGAAAAAAAAAGTAACCAAATAAGTTTCCATAGATTGAGTATAGGGGGTGCTGGTCTCAGGCCATAATCATGATATAGTAATAGCTTGTTTTTTCTCTTTCTAGATCCTCAGATGAGACTGGGAACCTACCAAACCAGCAATTCAAATACATCCCCAATTGAGATTGGCTCCTGGAACAACTTGAAGTTTGGGGGTTTTTTTCAGGCCTTGATGCCACAACCATTTGCCCTCTACCTGCCATGAATGCTGTGCCTCCTACAAGAGATATTGACAGGACCCACCCTGGATAAGTCTCCTTGCTGGAGCAGCCTTTCTTCTTTACTTTATTCTTGGGATTTACACTCATTTTTATATCCATTTACTGCTCTGCTGAAATTGGAACTGCCTTGTGGCAGCTGGCTATACTGCCCAGGTGGCAAAACTAATAAACTTTGAGTCATCCACTTCTGGACTTCCATCTAGTCTTGGGCATTTGAACCATGGAGCACTGCAGGGCTGCCTGGGGCTGCCTAGTGCTAATCACCATTTCACAGATCACTTCTATGTCTTTCAAAATGGAAAAATCAAATCAACATTTTGTAGCAAAAATGTCCTGGATGGGAAGTTCAGATTCATGGTTTCTAAATTCTGTCAACCTCTAAGTTGTTGAATGACTGTGAGTAAATAATTTAAATTATGTGACCTTCAAATAAATCTTCTATGAATTGTAGGGCATTTAAGATGAATGGATGGCTTTCAAACTTTTTTAAGTATCAAAATGGTTACATCAAATTGAAGAATATATGAAATCCTAATACATAAGCAGATAACAACCCAAATGCTTTGGATGAAGCAGGCCAGCAACATCACCACAGGCAGCATGAATACAGAACACAATTTGCAAAATGATAAATGATCCTTAAATTTGCTTCCAAGGTCTACACTTCAGAATCCCTTTCCTCCTAATAGTCTGGCAGATAAAAAGTTAGAAGGGATCCAATAGTAGTCATTTTCTCATGATGCCTCTTCTTGAAGTTGGGGAAATTTTCTCAAGCCTGAGATCTTTCCTACAAGACAGACACTTCTTTGATCTATGTTAATTTTTTTTTCCTTTTGAATAAATCCTGGTGAAAGTCACTCTCTAAGGGTCTCTGATACTACTGAAGGCTAATAATCTAAATTAATACAGGCAATTCTTTGTAAGAAATTAATCATGAAGGGTTTGTTATTTCTATTTCTCTTTCCCTTGAAAGTCAACATCAGCACAGGGCTGCATGATGTAGTGGACTGGCTGGATGGTTACAAGTTAATTTGTAAATCTAACAATGATCAGATACATTTGCTAAGGATAAGCAGGAACTGGATTCTAGGCTGACATCAGTCTGTCTGCCCCATTTCTTATCCACTACTTTATTCTTTCTTTTTCTGTGTTTCTGATTCTACCTCTTTTAGGGTAAATTTGAATGAAGCACTAGAACCCATCCCTCAAACTGTTTCTAAAGACAAGAGCCTGCCGATGTCCTCCATACAGTAGTAATTAATGGAAATAAAAAGCATTTCAGAATTAGCAGGCTCCCAGGAGCCAGAAAAGTTAAATAAGACTTTAAACCAGTTGCCATTAAAAAACAAAGTGGTTTGTTGGTACGTACTCAAAGGCAAAGTTAAGGGGGAAAAGAGTTCTATTTTTAAAAAGAGAGCAGCAGGGCTAAACTTAGCAACTCAGTGTTTAAAGGGGATATTACAAATCTGAAAGTAATCTGTTTACAGGGATGTATTTTAAGTCAGGAGAAGGGGGGGAAGTCAACAGCTATGACGTGATTATGTATGAAAAATCAGAGGTTTCCTGGGCAATTAATGACAAATTTTCCACAAATTGAAAGAGTGCAGGATGTGACTTTTAGTTTAATAACTACATACTGTATATCCATTCTAAATATTGCATTATATCATTACTTTCATCCTCTAAACTTAGGCTCATTATTTCATCAAGTACAGGCTATATAATTTACTCAGAATGCTGCCTTTATATGGTTTCATTTAAACAAAAAAGCCAACATTGGTTTAATAATAATCATCATGACAGCAAAACTATTATTTTAGATAACATAGTGGGTATGATATTCTTTGTATCCAACCAGAAAACCAAGGGGGTGGTCAAAGAGGATCTCAAAGGGCATAGCTACAGAAGGCTTCAGGAAGAATATATTAAATTATTTTAAAAAGCAGTCTCATGGTGTCTCACCACCTGACCACATGTTTCATTTCCTCCAAATGATCAAGCTGCAATAATAGAATCTTTCATCTCTAAAGGAAAACAAATTTGACAGGTAAAACAGGAAAAAAAAGACTACACCTAAGGCCCATTTCATCCAAACAGTAATTTTTCCCTCCCACTACCTTGCTTGGCCTCCAACTAAATTGGACTAAACCTCAACCGTGCATCCATGCAGCTTTCCATATATTGACCTATTCTTCAAAGCCCATTTCAACATCTTACTCATTAAACCCTGCTCCCATCACCCAAGGAAAAAAACAACTTTCCCTGACTATGAGTGAATACAGTATCTTAATTTACCTATCTCCTGCTGAACTTTAAACATTTGCCTTGTACTACCATTAGAATTATAAGAAGTCAAAGTCAAAAGGATCTAGGTAAGTTTTTCTGAAACCTATCCATGCATCCTAATCACCTTGGAAATTTCTGGACCCTACCCCAGAACCACTGAATCAGATACTCCAGGAACCTGGAGGAACCTGGGAAAAAAATAATTTAACCAGTGTATCATTCGTGGATTGGCTGGATGCTCAGATTTGAGAACCAATGCCTTAAAAGACTCTAGTCAAAATCCTTACTGTAGATGGAGAAGTAAAGGAACAGACAAGGGAAATGGCTTATTTGAAGTCACACTGCTGGCTAGCTCCTTCAACTGTACTGCTATCCTCCATGCTATTAATACTTGCATCTTCTCCTGTCTCTCCTTTCAAATTAGGGGATACATTAGGGTACAAATTATGTACTATAAGCCCTTTATATGTTTTCATGGCACCTAACACTGGTCTAACCACTTTTTTGAACAAATGAATGAAAAGAAATACTGAGTGCTGCTATGTGTAAGGCATTGTGCTAGGGACGGTGCACAAATAAGTAAATGAAAAATCTACAGTCAAGATCTCCCCAGACCTAAGAATCCTAGAGAAAATAATTAAGCAAACAGTTACAGAAAACTGCCACATGTAGAAAGGAGAAGGAAAAGAAATTTTAAAACAAAAACAATGACATGTGAAAACTCTAAGACAAGAAAGAGATTGACATACGGGGGGAGAAAACCCTGAAAGCAAGACAAATACTGAATCATGGTAAGAGAGAGAGAATCTGAGAATGAAATTATAGATGTTGACAAGGACCAGATCTTGGCATTCTTTAGATCATGGTAAGCAACTATTCTTTGTACATCTTTCAGAATAATCATTTTAAAAATCACAAATCATATCTTGTCATCATTCTACTTATAACTCATATGGCTTCCCATTGCATTGACAATTGTATTCAAAGACTAAACTAAGAAGAGAAAAAGAGGATTGTTACGGATATTACAAAAGTCAATGTATGTTGATGATAGTTAGAACTAGGTTGGTGACAGAAAACACAGAAAATAATCAGTAGGTTTAAGATATATTTTGGACAGATGAAATAGTTCAGTGATGAGCAGTTACCTAGCATGCATGAGACCCTGTGTTCAATCCCCCGTGGTGCAAGAAAAAAAAGATAAAATTTAAGAACAGAATATGTAAAAGATTGTAAGGGAAGAAAACAGCAGATAGGATGATGAAGGAGAGGCAGAAGTCAAGCATAATTCCCACATTCCTGGATGAATATCTGGGTAAACTATTCTGGCATTAACAAAAATTAAAAATTCAGAGATAGAAACAATTGAAGAGAAATGAAAATTAGTACCCATCTCTGAAAGTGTTTTTTTGTTTGTTTGTTTGTTTTGGTACCAGGGGTTGAAATTGGGACCTTGCACTTGCAAGGCAGGTGGCAGCACCACTGAGCTAAATCCCCGGCCCACAGAAAGTGTTGTATTATAGATGACTATGAGACAATCAGTTGGGCTGGGGTCATCACCATAATATAAAAAGTGTTTAAAGTCACACCTCAAGAGGAAATAGAAGAATAA